GTGATTATAAACTGCTACAAAGCAAACGCAAAGCGAGAAAAGCGAACAAGCCTGGAAGAACCGCCAATAAGAGTTCCCTTTGCAACTTAGCCCAGCCCCAATACTGCAGAGCCTCTTCCTGAATGCGCAAACCCAACAGCGTTTCCCCCGCAGGCACCACCTGCACACACGGAGCTCCTGCCCCAGCTTGGCCGCCTAAAACTCCGTCTGCCCGCGGCCGCTCCGGTGCCCGCTCTCCAGCATCCAGGGCTGGGGACGTGCTCCTGCAGAAAGCACCCTCGGGTCTGCTCTAGGGAAGGGCCCTCTTCTCTCTTGGGCGGGAGGGAGGGGCGGGGGGGGTGGGGGGGTGAGAGGAGGGAGAGGGAGGGAGGGGATGGGGGGGGCTCTGTGCAATGTGATCCTATTTGGACCTGTAAGTTTTTCGTTCTGAACAGCAAAGTGCCTGAGGATGTCTTCTCACAAGGGCACTGAAAAAAGCCAGAAGGGAAAGCGTGGCCGGAATGCTGTGTTGGTGGAACCGCTCACGAGATCCCCAGCTGGAGGTGATGGGCAACAACCACCAGGCATGCTGCTCCCTTCACCGAGCTACTGACATTTAAAACACGACTCCTGCTTCCCCCTCCTCCTCACTGCTCTGCTTTGGGTCTCCCAGCAGTGAAGATTTCAACTGACAACCCAACACAGCACACAAGAGGTAAAAAGCAACCTCAAAACTCTGCTTCCAGGAAAGGAAACGTTCAGAACCCAATGACAAAAATGGCAAACCGGACCAAGAAGGAACCTTAGGGAACCTAAACCATTCCTATAAATATAACACCTCCGAAAAGAAAGCCTTACAGAAACACTTACTGATGCTGGGGAGCGGGCACCAGAGAGGCTGTGCACAGACGGAGTTCTAGGCAGCCAAGCGAGGGCAGGAGCTCTGTGTGTGCAGGTGATGACGGCAAAGCTTTGTCAAGTCGCCTACGTCGCCTAGACAGAAGGCATCGTAAACAAGGACAACACACTGTGAGTTCTGTGGTGGACTCCCATTGGGTTGGAGAGACTGCATGGGTACTAATTCAACAAAGACAACACCAAGAGCCTTAAACTCTGCGGGTAGTACCCAAATGTCAAGAGGAAACCGGGGACCTGCATCGTTACAACATCCAACAGCACGATTAGAAAAATAGTGGGAATTCCCCCTAGAGCTGCTGCAAAACAGCCTGCAAGCAAAGCAATTGCTGTTTAGGAAAAAGCAACGCAATGATCTCAAACCAGGAAAGCAAATCAAGCTGAGATTTCCTGTGACAACGTTTTCGATCCCACGAATGTAATTGACTGGAAGGGAAAAAACTTCTTGAATTAAGCACGTAAACAAGTTGAACAAAACAACCTCTTCCTTGATCAAGCAGAGGATGTGCTTCTGCTCTGATTTACTGGCCCCGGGTATTTCTACAGGAGGATCTAGATCTGTCCAGCTGTTCAAGTGTCACTCCGCATGCATGCCAGCGTAAGAGGAAACAAAGTCCTGCATCCAGATCTTGAGTCCCAACTCAAGAGGGATGTGGATGTGGAGGCAGGCAGAGAGAGGTGGGCTTGTTCAGCCTGGAGAAGAGAAGGCTCCTTAAGGGGAGACCTTAGAGCAGCTCCAGTGCCTAAAGGGGCTCCAAGAAACCTGGAGAGGGGCTCTTTGGACAAGGGCCTGTAGGGACAGGCCAAGGGGGAATGGCTTTAACCTGACAGAGGGGGGACTGAGACGAGCTCTCAGTCGGAAGCTCTTCCCTGCGAGGATGCTGAGGCGCTGGCACAGGGTGCCCAGAGAGGCTGTGGCTGCCCCATCCCTGGCAGTGTTCAAGGCCAGGTGGGACACAGGGGCTTGGAGCAAGCTGCTCTAGTGTGATGTTGTCTCCGCCCGCCCGTGGCAGGGGTTGGACGTGGATGAGCTTTAAGGTCCCTTCCAACATGAACCGTTCCATGATTCTATAAAATGCAGAAATGGGGAGGATAACTACAGGCAAATTACAGACCAATTGGTGAAAGCAGAGGGTGGATAAATCCATCCCTTGCAGACCCAAACTTGCTAAAGGAAAAGAGCGGGGTGGAAGGAGGTAGGCAAGAGGGATGAAAAACAGCAACCAAGACAGGAAAAGGCAAAAATGGGTTAGAAATGGCAAGAAATTGGGAAGAACTGGACAAAAAGGGTTTGGAAATGGCCAAAATGGTTTAAAAATAATTAGAACTGGGCAAAAAAGGGTTAGAAATAGCCCAAACCAATTTAGAAACAGCTAAGAAAAACATGAAACAGGCTAGAAACGGCCATAAATTTTTTTAGCAAGAGGCACACAGGAGTTAAAATGGGTTACCAAAGGGCAAAAAAGGCTTAAAACAGGTAAGAAATGGGCAAAAATAAGACAGAATCGGCCATAAATTGTTTAGAAATAGCCAAAAAAGACTTGCAAAGGGTTAGCAACAGCAGAAAATACGTTATCAATGGGCAAAAATGAGTTAAACCAAGGTAGGAAAGGGCAAAAATGAATTGGAAAGGGCAAAGATGAGTTAGAAATGGCAAGAAATTGGTAAGAACTGGACAAAAGTGGTTCGGAGTCAGACAAAATGGCTTAAAAACTGTTAGAATTGGGCAAAAAAGGGTTAGAAATAGCTCAAACCAGTTTAGAAACAGCTAAGAAAAGCTTTAAACAAGCTAGAAATGGCCACAAATAGTTCAGAAATAGCCAAAAATGGCTTAAAACTTGTAAAAATGGGCAAAAATAAGATAGAAATGGTCATAAATTGTTTAGAAAGAGTAAAAAATGCTTAAAATGGGGTACAAATGGGCAAGAATGGATTAGAAATAGCCAAAAAAGGCTTAAAACTGGTAAGAACTTGGCAAAAATAGAATAGAAAGGGCCATTAATATTTTAGAAATAGCCAAAAAAGACTTAAAATGGGATAGAAATGGGAAAAAATTGGCCTTCCATGGAGGAGGATGGCTACTGCCCAGTTCTCCCCAGTCTATGATGGGGGAAAGCAGGACACACGCCACAGTACTGCTGACCTCATACGTTGAGGCCCAGACTGTTCCTGGTCCTCCAGCAGCGGCAAGATGCTGTTATACAGCCATCTCCATCCTTTTCTCACAGCTGCACGCTGCTGCCTAGCTCCTCTGATGCTGCAGCCACCTTATCTACCCCACTGTAAAGCATTTCCAGCAGCCACAGGATATGCCAGCTTGTCAGACTGCATCTCTTTAAAGATATTTTGTGCTCAGCCATACCCCATCTGTGCTACATGGCCTGCTTTAAAACTCTCTGCTCATTTCCTCCTTCCTCCCACCAGTCTCTGATCTGCCTGGAGCACTTCTGAGCCCCGATGCTGGGAACTGCATTCGGGCCACATCTCCAGCTCTAAGGGTGGTGTCAGCCACAGCCCTTTCATGCAGCACAGCACTCCAGCCCGGTTTGCCTGCCTTGTACTCCAGCACAGAGGCTGCTGCTGGCATTGCAGACCAGAGCTGATGAAAGCAATCTGGGCATCAGCCACGCCAGCAAAGATGTCTGCCTGATGCAGTTAATGAGCATAACAATGCGGCAGCTTCAGCCTTTGATGTAAGCTATTTCCCTACTGCTACTTACTGTAGTGCAGAGAGGTTTTCCTCAGGTGACAGCAAACAGCTTCCTTCCAGGGTGCAGGCAGCGAGCAGCAAGCCTCTGTTGGGAAACCCAGGGCTGAGCACACAAGAACTGGAGAGAGCTCTGTGCACGACCCACGTTAGTGCCTGTGAGTGCCTAAGACATTTACATATCACCCAGCAATTGAGTTATTTGTGTGTTTATCAGTCACTGAAATCTGATTTTGCAGCAAGTGCTCTCACCAACTGACCACAAGGAGGTCTGAGTTGCTTGCAGAGGCAAATAACTGCTTCACCAAGCCTGTTCGGTCATGGTGTTCCTTCCTAAATCTCTGAAAGCTGTAGGGTTTCACCATTTCAGTCTCTTGTAGGAATGGCAAAAAACCATAATTCAAATTCAGAAGTTAAATTCCTTCCAAAGTGCATTTAGGTGCAAGCAGAAATTCAGTGACGTATATACAGAATCACCAGTTCAGAGAACTGCTCCTTCTGCAGGCCACATACACCAACTGTGCACAGGATAGGCTCTGACAAAAGCTGATTTTCATCAGCCCATGAACTCACACTCTTCCCATAACCAGTTTTCTTGCAGAACATCCTGCAGCCAGTGTGACACAGACTCAGTAGCTACTACTTACATCTGACGTACTTGGCAGGGTGGCAGAATGCTTGCCTTGAGCAGGAGCCATCTCATGCAGCCCTTAATGGCAAGTTCCTTGGTTTTGCACTGGTGTTCCCTCTTTCAGGCGTGTCTGTCTGCTTTACATCCACAGAATGGAACTCTCTCCTGGAATGCACAGGCTTACAAACAGGTTAATCCTTGCACCCCCTCATTGCCCTCACAAGGAGTGGACGGCTACATGCCTCACTCACTCAGAGTTTCAAGCATGCCTTTGGGATGCAGGAACTCAGATTGATCTCTCTTCTCCAGCTTTGAGCAGGAGCTCCAGGTTTGCAAGGCAGCCCGAAGGCTCAGAAACCTGCCCAGTTAGAGCCAGAGCACGAGCATGTCCACCAAGTGACATCTGCTATGCCCCTCCAGGCCTTCACACCGCTCCTCTGTCTCCCAAGCCAGCAGATCTGCTACAAGAGCTTTTGCTCATGGGTTGTGCTGGGCTTTAGGTTTGCTGCAATCCCTGCCTAGCTCATAACCAAGCTAAGGGTAACCTTAGCTCATTTGCACAGTCTGGCCTAAGGAATCCCACCGTCACAGGATGCCCTCGCTGTCTATAGGGGCTCTTCTCACTGCTATTCCGCCCCTCCATTCAAGATGCCACTATTTAATACAGACTGTCTGCCATGTCCTATTGGAAGCGTACTTGGAAATATTTACTCCTAAACTGAGTAAATGTACACAAAGCGTGACAAAGGATGCATCCCAGTTAGAGGCTGACTGAGGCGGCCAGCTTTGTAGACTCAAATGCACATTTGTGATGGGCAAAGTAAATAGGTACTTAAATACCTTATTTTCTATGGGATATGCATCTATCAAGAGGCAGGAGGAAAGTCTTACCATGTCTTTTCCTATTTCAGGTCTCAGAACATCACACAATTTCTGCACAACAGGACAATGAATGTGTCCAGCAACTGCAGTATCACAAGTCCAGAACTTTATCACCGCTTCTGTCTCTTTGAACTTGCTCTGTATAAGGTCATTTTCTCTTCTGGAACTCAATTTAATGCCCTTGCCCTCTGGGTGCTCTTCTGCAAGATAAAGAAGTGGACAGAAACAAGGGTGTATGTAATCAACTTAGTCTTTACAGACTGCTTTGTCATCTGCACCTTCCCTTCAGGGCTTATTTGCTCTGGAATAAGTCAGCCCGGGATGTACTTTGCCAGTTTACAGAGACAACGTATTTCATCAACATCTTAGTGAGTACCTACGCAATTACATTTATCTCCACTGACCGATACATTGCCATAAAACACCCCTTGAAAGCCAGGGCCTTTGGGTCTCCATCAAAGGCAGCCCTTCTCTGTGGGCTTCTGTGGGTTTCTGGGATAATCGGTGCCACTGCACAGATTCGGCAGAGCCAGTCCACCCTGTGCTTCCAGAAGGATTCCACCGTGCCTGCTGCTCTGAGCCTGCTTTCCATGCTCTTCATCTTTATTCTTCCATTGGCAACCTTGACTTTTTGCTCCACAGAAGCGATCAGGAGCCTTAAGAGATGCCTGAACACCAATTCACCAGAGGAGAAACCAATCCAGAAAGCTGTTCACATTCTTTATGCAAACCTGACTGTATTTCTAGTATGTGTTCTGCCAGTCTTCTTTGGGTTACTTGCCAGGTTCATAGCAGATAGCGTTGGAGCTACCTGTTTCATGTTCCACGTTATGAAGAACATCTCCCCCGTGACAAGGTGTGTTGCCACATCTAACTGCTGCCTGGAGAATGTATGCTACTACTTTGTGACCAAGGAGTTCCATGAAGCCCTTCTACCGCCCAAAACCAGCAGTGAAAAAAACAGATCAAATCCATCCCTTGCAGACACACACTTGCTAAAGGAAAGTGCAGGGTGGAAGGAGGGAGGCAAGAGGGATGAAAAACAGCAACCCCTGCAAAAAAAACATCTCTGCAACATCAGGATAAGACATCTTCAGTGCTACTGGGCTAACTGTCGCTCTTTCTTTCTGGAGAGACCACAGAGTCAGAGAATAGTCTGTGTTGGAAAGAGCCTACAAAGCTCATCTAGCCCGCCATCCCAGCCACCAGATCAAGTCACGACATAAACAAGGTGTTGCAGTGTAGGTGTTAAGAGCCACCAGCGCTGCTGAAGTTCTGAGGCAGAGGAAATGGGACCTTCTACAGTACTTGCAATGATCGTAGGTGCAGGTGTACCTGCTAAAAAGGGGCAACCCTCTCCAAAGGGTCTGATATTAACTTGAATTTTGTCCTTCTGTCCTCAGTGACTTGACTCCAGCTTTGACTATGGTCTTAGATCATTGTATCGCAGCTTCGAGAGGAAGAGCCATGTGGGATGGAGAATAGATGCTAAGGCCACTGTTTCCACCATGCACTTATTGGTACATAACATGCAATTAAACACAGGAAACTGAGCACCCACACAGCAGTACACAAATCCACTTCTGGTGCTGCTATACAGAGGGTCACTTAAAACAAAGAAAAAAACCCATGCACTACAATGTCAAACCTAATACATCTGTGCTGCTCACACCAAACCATACACTGGTAGCTTCCTGCCAGCCTGCATCATTTCAAAGCTTGCAGCTATTACCAGGACACAGCTATTGTTGTGCATGGAGTAAAGACAGTGGCCTGAAACTATTGCCCCATTCCCGCCCATTAACACTTGTATCAAGTTGTGGCAACACCCTGGCATTTGTCAGACTAAAACCATTGTGGGTATAAATAAAGCCATTACTGCATGGAAAAACAGAGCCCTGCAAAGCACTGTAGACCCCAGAACAGAATTTTTCCTTGTGCCTATCAGACATAAATCTGGGCAGATCTGATCTTCCTAGCTGGATCCCGGACCACGCATCGATGTACACGGCTGGCTTTCCGATTACAAATCTCCTCTATAATACCTGTGCTTGCTGACTATGCACCATGTATCCTCCAACCCCACAGGGAAGTGACAGCAGAGCAGCTCAAAACAGTTAAGCCACAAATGGAAATCTTGGGCACTAGAAGGAAGTGCCCCATGGAGTCAGCATGGGAAACATTAAGAGAGTTGTTGAAATGCATGTGATAGCTGTATCTCCTTTGGCTTCATGGGCCTTGACTCTGAGCCTCTTCTGACTTGTCAACACCTAAAACATTCTTCCAGGGAATGCAAATCCATATTGTGCTCATTTAAACCTACAGACAACTAACTTTCTTGGTGACAGCTTACAAACAGTTCCCCTAAAAGTGTCCTGTCGCCTTCTAGTGTCTGCAGGCCACACGCTGAAGCCACTGTCTAGACACCAGCCAAACAACATAGGAAACAACCACTCCCATCACAGAAAACACTCCTCACCTGAACATTAGATCTGACTGCTTTGTGTCAATACCCTGGTACAGGACCCAGCATGATGGAAGCTCAGCAGAGAAATGGATGAAACCATTCAGGTCACTCGGTTGATCACTTCTGTCCCTGTTTTCTTCGACGGGTTATTTAACGCTCTGACATTAATGGTCTTTCACTTCAAGCAGAGCACAAGTCACCAACTTAATCACAGCACACACTGCTTGGTCCTCATTCTGCCTTTTAAAGTCTCTTTTCAAAGAGAGCGAAAGAAACCGGACACAAATTGGGCCTGAACTTAAAAATCATCCATTGCTTAAGGCGGTGCGTGAGCGTTGTCGCCCTCGTAGCTGTCAGCAAACACACTGCTCTTAACTACCCTTGGAAAGCAAAAGGCTTAGGGTCCCTCTTAGCCGGTTCTCCTTTATGGTGTGCTGTCAATGCTCATGATATGCATCACTTATGTGTCCAGGCAAGAGGTGGTCAGCAAGGAAGACATCTTCTGCTTTCACAAACAGCACAGAGGGCCTTCAAAAATGCTCTTTCCTGTAGGATCCCCTTCTGGGCTTCTGCATCTCATTGGTTACAATGAATGCCTATCCCAAACAGATGACCATGAAAATGTTCATTACTTTGAAGAGAGATGAAGGTTGAGCCATATCAACCTGCTCTCCTACTGTTAACCCAGAAAGGAAACAACTTAACCTGTTCTGCAACTCCTGTCACGTTCCTGGTTTCTGCCTGTTGACGTGGGGCACCTTCTCCAGTTTCCAATGAGCTCCAATGAAGCTGTCTGCTCTGAAATACAAAACGGTAATGTGTTTGTGTCTGTGGCCTCCTGGATAGGCCTCATAGGATGGCACAGAAAAACTGCTGTTGAGATACCATTTGCTACTGGTTTATAACTGGAGACTTTCAGAGCAATTTCTTCTTCCCCAAGCACAGAGTTTTCAAATCCAGGAAGGATCACAGACAAGGCACTCTATCAAATAAACTAAACAGCTTCCATGCTGTCAGCCCAGCCAGCAGCTAAGCACCACACAAGCCGCCCCGTTACTCCCTGTCGATGCCCAAACCAGTACAAACGTGCTAAAGCATTTAGAGTTCGCATTTCTACACATAGCCAAGCTTGCTGCGTATACAGCTGTATGGAGTGAGCGTTTTTATCTTGTAGGAAGCAAACTGAGGCCTCCCACTGTTATTGTTCTACATTAAAAAAATTAGAGTGTTTCTTTTCTCCTTGTAAACTAGAAATTTGTTGACTTCACAGTCCCAGTCATCATGAAGTAATGGTTTTTGTTGTTTGCACTGACTGCTAGGAAAACAAAAAAGGAAGCACTTTTAGCAAGTGATAATAAAGCTATTTCATAGTATTATATCTATAAATAAATATTCATTCATCACCATTATACATCAGAGTCCTCTATTATTAATGCTAAACTTAGATCAGAGATCGCCAAAAGAGGCTTAGCTAACATGATAGAAAAGCTGCCTTACAACTGGGTTACACTGTAAGTAGCCTAAGATGAGCAACCAACTTCTCAATTACCTGAAGATGCAAACACTACCTGGGACAAACATGATTGTCTGCTTTACATGCCAAGTTATAATGATGTTAATGGTGGGTTTCTGACACCTGTCTTCAGTCAGAACAAAACCTCAGCTCTGTGAGCGCTCCCAGTAAATGGAACAGCACCTTTGCCACAACAAACCATGGACCCTGGCCCGCAACAAACTGGCAGGCATCGCACAGCACTGGAATAGCAAACCATGAGGACAGCGACACTGCGATCCACACATCTTTCTGATTTCCTTGCACAAGAGCCTCGTTCACAATAGGAGGGAGCAGAGCTCCAGCAAGCAGGGCTGGACCACTGCATTCTGCTAATGCTTCAGCAAGACAGTATCTCTCTGTCCCTTGGAAGTAAAAGATGCTGGCAATGACCTAAACTTTAGATGAGAAAATTGATGCTGCAGTAAAAACTTAGGCTGTGGGGAGCAGGGGGGACATAAATAAGATGCAAAAACAGCACACAAGGAAAGTAATCCAGATTTTTGCTTCTATGTGAGCAGCCACCAGATTCAGCAGTTTTGGCCCTTCTAAGCAGAAAAGGCAGGGGCTGGCATGAGGCATTATTTCACTGTGTTGATGCTGTGGGAGTATGGAGAGGGCTAGAGTACAGAAAGCCCTGCAAGGCGGACAAGGCCAAGATCTTCCCCCAAAGAAAAAGGAGGCAGGAAGCCCACCAAACCCGTCTATTAGCAAACCATACCAGGAGCACAGGAAAACCTCACAAGAAGGGCTTTCTTTGACTGAGAAACAACCTCAAGCAGGACATCAGGCAGAGCTTACAAGGGAAGGAAAAAGGACTGTACGAAACACAGTTAAATCTTAGAGATCAAGAAGGACAAAGATCAAACAGGTCTCAGCAACTTCTTCCCTTAGACATGAAAAACTACCTATAAATTACAAGCAAAGAAGTGAGATCACCTAGTACTGCTGCTGCTGCTAAAACCAGCAAACTTGTCCAGGTATGGCCTGAAAACCACCCTATTGCTTTGTCACAGCTTTCAGTAAGGATGAAGAACCCAGAAAGTCCAGAATTTTAAAGGAATTGGCACAGGAAATCTCACACCAGCAACAAGGCTTTTAAATAAGGCAGACAAAAGAGGGTCAGGGGGCAAAGACCACCAAACAGAGCCCCTGCTCTTCGGACAGGCACTGGTTCCCAGTAGTGCCCCCAGACCACCCTGATGGAGAGCTGCCAGCAAGGAAGGGAGAAAACAGCACACGTCACCTGCACTGTGCCACACGGTGACAGCGCTCCCAGGGCTGAGACAGGCTGAGAACTGCTGGGGTAGGGGACAACACCAAGTGAACAACACTGCTCCAAGGCAGAGGTGATAAAACCTGCAACTGGATGGAAGAAAGGGGCCAGAAGGAGCTGCAAGAGCCTAGAGGGTAGCTGGTACAGAGCCGAGGTGGAGAAAAGCATGAGGATCCTGACCCAGTGCTGTCCAGGAATCACACAGAGACCCAACAGCCACACCAGGAGACCCGCAAGGCCTCTGCAGCTAACCCTTCATCCTAGCTTGGCCTACTCGTAGCTGGTGTTGAGTTGCTCTGACATATCCTGGTGAACCTGATGATCCCAACCAGCTGGTTTGTGCCTGGTAACATGATTTGTCCCCGCCTTGAAGCCTCACCAGGCTCATGGGAGACACAGCTGCCCGGGTCAGGTGACCACAGCACCAAGCTGCGCATGGGAAGCATCACACCAAAGAGATGTTTTGAGCTCCCTTCAGGCTTCATTTTGCCTGCTCATGGTTAATACTGCTAGTGATTGCCTTGATAGAGACAATAGGAATGTGTGGACAACATCTGAGGATGATGCAAAGTGAAGTGTTTTCTGTACAGTGCTGAAACTATCACAACCCAGGAGCTGGGTGACTTGGAAAACTCAAATACTAACAAGGACCATGACATGAAAATGACAGTGGTTGGGGATCAGCGAGCTGGGCATACTAAGTC